ATGTGAAGCCAAGAACCGGCTTTGCGGATATGCTACTGCCTGATGATGCTGGCTGGTCGCCTGCCTGCTACGCAGCGGTGGACGGAGATGCGGCGGTTTTGACCAGCTGCTTGAAAGCAATGGCATTAGCTGGCAGAGCGACCAGAAACGCTTAAGTGATCGCTGGATTGCAGTAGAAGGTCGGGTACGATGCCACATGTTTGCCGCAAGATGCCCTGAGGCTTGCTTGAGCACAAGGCGGACCCGAATGAGAGATACTGGGATGCACAATGTTCGAGTATCGCAGGATATCAGCTGCCTGCTCATTTGTACTGTATTGGTAGCAATGACATGCATTGACATCCACACTCCAAGAAGCTCGTTGATGGCAGCGCTCTCAATGACCTCTTGCGATGTGGTGTGAGCCACAGATTCGGAACTGAGGAATCTTGAATTCGAGTGATACCCTCTCTCTGTTCCCACCTGGCACACCACTGCTCACTATGGCTGCTTTCCTCTCGAACGCGGAGGTTGGAGTTACTGTTGGGTCCGGTGTTTCCTGATTCACCCTTCCTTACAACTCGACACGTCGTGACGAAAGCCAGATCACGATTGGGAAGTGCGAGTACAGACTCCTGCAAATATGTAGCTGCGTTCACAGAAGCTCATTGAAGATGTTGCGTAGTGTAGTAAACACGTGCAGCACGATGCTAAGCAAGTCAATGGTGCTGTGAAGGCAATGACCGTGCTCATCAACGCACGGGCAGATCCCAATGGTCAGGCTGGCTTGTCGACTGTCCCACACAACTGTTATCGGTACCGGTGCGACTGCGCAGCTTCTAAGCATGAGCAGAATGCAGCACGGTCTCGGACATTTTCTGCGAAGAGGTGGGAAGTACCACGACATGAAAGGCTTGGTGGCAGTGGGATAATGTGGACACATCGCTTTCAGAACTGGCAAGTGGGGGGGTTTGGCAGATTAGTATCACATGAGTGCCGAGTACGACAAGTCGCAGGATGCCCGATTCGGAACACAGATGAGTCAGAAGGGGACTGGACATGTCTGGACATGTCAGGAAAATGGAATGGCAAAAGTTGTGCTAACTTCGCGAAGGAACGGCCCTTCCCGGAAAAGAGAAAAAAACGTTACCTAGCTTGGCTGGCTGGCAGTCCCACAACAGTAACGGGGCTGCGGCGATGGGGCCTCCGTCGTTCCGATGGTGTGAGTAGGTTGCAGCCATTGTGCTGGCATAGGCTGGGCATAGGGACCAACGCTCCGGCACGACGAGCCACACCTGACACACTGGGGACATGATGTACGAAGATTTTTGACAGAAAATTGATTGAACAATGTTGCTAAAGTTTGCTTACTTCGGTCCTACCCTACAGGATGGCTACCGCAGCGAACCACTCCACTGGGCTGCCGCGGCCGACAACGTCGGAGGTAGGGGACCGTCTAAGCCATCTTCATTCACTTCATTCACTTCAGTCACTGCATTCACTGCATTCACTTCGTAGAACATGCAGGCATCCGTCAGTTGCTTGCTGCTGGAGCCAAGGCGGACCAGGACCCGCATTTTTTGGAGACAGAAGCTAGGTTGTCATCATAGATGTACATGAACAACCGAAAACCCAGCAATCTTTCAGCGGAACTGGCTTTAAACAGGATAGCTGTCCTTTCACTTGCACTTGCAGCCTCGCTGTGTTCTGTGAATCGAAGTTGCAGAAAAAGTTCCTCTGCATCGTGTCAGGTGCTTTGTGCTAGATGGCGAGTTGTATTCCTGGGATTGCACACCGGAATTTGACGTGAACACATCGCAGGCGAATATGCTGGGCGCTTCACCCTTCGACATGGCTGCACAGTTTGGCTGCGCTGGCGCAACACAGGACTTTTGGTGAATCCTTGTCACGAACCGGACTCCTTGTTGTCATCTCTTGTCAAGACTGATGGGGTGGACATAGAAACGTGGCAGGGTTCACGGCAATGTGTGCTCATTTCGGCAAAATTCTGTTCTTTGGGGGGGCGGCCGAACCATCTCACGCTGTCCACACCCGCAGACCAGCAATCCCAGCCTAGCCTCTTGGACCAAGTTCCCATCCCGGCGGGATGCGACGTAGACGTAGACATGCCATAGACCTGTTCGTCAGTGGGGTGCGTAATGGGAGTCCTTGCAGCGCCGGGCCGCTGGAAAATGAAGCGGGGGTGGTACTGCCATGCATCATCCTGGAGCCCGGACTGCGTTTGCCTGTTTTGCCTGTTTCTGGAACCTTCCCAACTGCCCGCCTCGTGTAGGCGCAATGCCTGGGGCCTTGCCAATGCGACTTGCATTGCGACGAGCACCTGCTTCACATCCAATTGCCTGAACAGGTCGTCATCGACCAGGAATTGATGCCGGGTACGATGATTCTGACATTTGCCGTGACGGCTTGCGTTGCCTCTGCCAACAACCCCTCCTCCGGGCCACCGGACGACGAAGTGGGGATGTCGCTGCGACTTGGACTTGGCGTTCCGGAAGGACGAAAGGGCAGGGTCGCCTCTTATGGTTCTTGTTGGCCGCTCCGTCTCCACGTCATGGCCGATGGCACTGAGGATCTCAGCGTTTGGGACTCCTGTCATGAAGTTGGGTGGCATGTGTAGAGGACGGAGGGGATGTTGTTTGGGGGTTTGATGGTCTTCATGACTGCCCGGGGCTGGCACCGGAAGAAGAAGGCGATGCCGAATCGCCCTGCACTCTGCGGGTAACTTGTTCGCCGGCTGTTTCTCGCGAGTCACGACCCGGCACACGCGAGGAGTGACGATCATCACTGGTGCGCGCAGGTCGGATGCTTTCGAACAAGATTTAGTTTCGATGCTAACTGACGGACCGGACCAGCTTTGCTGTGCTCCTGTGAGCGGGCGCGACATGCTGCCGGCTTCAGCGGATACCATAAGCCCGGTTGCAGCCTGAAGAGAACCCGAAGACAAAACCTTCAGCGAAGCAAAGCATCCCACATACCGAAGTGACAAGTCGAGTCACTGCCTTCGGCGTCTTCGCTTCAGCAGTGGACGTAACCAATGTGTAAATGCGATCGAGGCGTTATGCTCCGGTCGGACTATCCAGCGGTGCAGAACGCAACCCGCGCTGCCATCCAACCAAAATAGAGGAAACTTGAAACCACATGAGTGGTCAACACTCCCAACGGCGCGACCTCGAATGTCGGGAAGTGGTCCACGCACACTCCCGTGAAGATGTCGAAAAGGGATCGAGCAAATGCCAAATAGGCAATTGCGCTTGGCCTTTCGACATGATGGCACAGATGGCAGAGCTGCTTCTGGCCATCCGCGAACGCTTTTGGCAATGCACGGCACCCGGCTGTTGCAACCGATTCCTGAAGCATTTTAAGTCGCCCAAGGTCCTCGAGATGCTCGCCCAGGTCTTCACAGGAAGGTTGGTGGTGGGATCGCGGAGGTTTAAAAGGCCAATTATCGACGACGTCGAGATGTTTCGGGAGCAAGCCAGCGATGACCTTATGGCGAGCCCACGTCCTCCTGGTGGAAAGTTGGGGGGGTTTGGGGGGGGGACCCCTTGCGCCAGCCACAGATGTAAAGCGGACAGTGCATCCGGCACGTGTCGGCATCGAAATGAAACAAATGTTGATTTTCCTTGGCATTGGTGGCGTAGTCGATGCAGTTCGATGTAGTTCGATGTTTTCATTGCAGTGTGTTTTCCTGTGCCAGGAGTTGGTGGCTTTCGTGTCACAGCAGGAAGTCGGAGCTGGTTTACACTGGGCCACTTCGCACAAAGAAATTTGCTCATACAATAATGTAAGCCGGTTTGTTTTCGAATGCAGTTCTGCTGCAGCCGCCACAACCCTGGCTCAGTAAACTGAGCTGGAGACATGGCGAGTCTTTTGCGATGCTGGTTGCTAGGGGTCGGAATGGGTATAATGCGCACGGTGGTGGCTGCAGCGGTTGTGCACGTCCGGTCGTGTGTTGTACCTCTGCCACGTTGCGGTCGCCAGTGCACCTTGGATTGTTTGCTGGGGCCTTTGTCGGCCGAGCCGTTAGTCCTTGTTCCTTTTGGCGCGATGTGGCATTCAGTCATTGATGTGAGCTGCGGCAATGGACCGTAAGGCTGCTCGCCACGATCATGCAGATGCAGACACTGTGTGGGCATTAATCGAAGCAGGCGCAGACGTGGACCAGCAACTTGCAATCCAAGGAGAATCCTTTTTGGACACTTTTTCGGATAGGTTGACCAGCCAGAATCATCGTGATCCAATTCTTTGCTGTCTTGTCGCACGTTACCCGTGAGGCAGCTTTCCATGCCTTTGTTCAGTCCTCTGGGCCTGATGTTCTCTTACTTTGCAGTAAAGCATCGCTGGCACCACTCAATTTTGAGCAACTATGCGTACCATCATGAGGGTGCTACTCCCCTCATGTGCAGCATCCTCAACTGCAACTTTCAAGTTGCGGCTGCGCTCGTCGCGGGGGGAGCAAAGTTGGATTTGAAGAACGCACGTGGGAAGACTGCCTTGGAGCTTGCCGAGCTCATGTCGGTCTCTTGCACGCATGCAATGTTTGCAGCTGTGTGCACAATGTGTTGACATCAGGGCTAACCTTCGCATTGAGATCCTCGCTCGCAGACACTGAACATCACGAAGCCATGATAAAGTTGCAAGATAGGCTGTAGGAATGCTGTAGGATGCTGAAGGTTACGCAGGGTAACACAATGTTACACAGTTTCAGCTCCACGTATGATGAACCGTATGATGCACTTCAGACATGGGGGCACTTCGCAATACTTCGCATTGCATGCCCAGGTTCCAGACTACTTGGCCAAGGCACTCCAAGCACATGGCAGCGAGTACGAGAGCCTGTGTCGACGCACGCGTCCCTCGGCTGCATTTTGATTATAAGGACGTCCGCAAAGTGTTCGGATCGGTAGTTCGCACTGTGTCACACTGTGTCAGGAAGCGAAGCAAGTATTGCGATGAGCGCGACCAAGACGAACCAAAGCCTCGACACCTTCAGCATTTGATCCATTCTCGGAAATCCGCGAAGGTCACTTGTTGACCTTTGACAATGAGCGGAAAAATTGGCCTTCCAATGTCCATTGCCTTGGTTCGAGGTCCTGCAAGGTAGCTGTGGACCTCTCAATTCGCGCATTGTGTTGCACCCAGCAGTCATCACGGTGCTACAGAACCCGATCGCCACCCCAATCAGCTAAGCCATCACAAGCCCTGAGGAATAGGTCATACTCGACAACAGCTCAGGTAAGCTACTTGTGAAGTTTTCTGTCTGGGTTTTCTTTCAAATCCGAGCTGGCATTTAAGATTTCACCTCGGAGTTACCTTGTCTCTACACTTCAGCGTTGAAACGGCAACTGTTGAGCATGTCCGGGGCGTTCTTTAAACAACGAGCGTGTTGGATACCGTTTTGGTACAAAGCCCTTGCAAAATCTTCACAACCAGTTGCCTGACAGAGTTATCTGGCTGGCAAACGGGGGGGCGGGACCTAGGACCTAGGGGGGTTCGCAGGTTGCGCTATGTACACTGCGTCAAAACATGGTCACTGCAAGCGTCGTCCGTGTCCCAGCCCAATACCCCACACTTGCTTGGGGAAGAGGAGGGGCGAGTTGCAGGATAATCATGATTGTGCCCGATGTGGGGATGGCGTGAAAGATGGAAGTGATGGATGGCAGGGTTCGAAAAGGCACAAAGCTAAGCTCAAAGCATGGCACTCTGAAATTGTTAAAATTGTTGAACATGATGAGTTTCTTCTTTAAATTGCTGTCTTGTTTCGAGGCTTGTACAGAAGCATGCCTAGCCACGAGTCCCCTATAAATCTGAATACAGTTTTAGGAAGGACAGGAAGGGGCTCAATAGATTTCAAAAGTGGCACTACGCAGTGGTTTGTTGGGGCGAAACGAACGAGATGAGAGCTTCATCGTTTTTAACTGGTGGTGCGTGCTGATTCAAGCACTTGGGAGCTTTGGATGAACAGGGCAGGTGCGAGATGGTGCAAGCAGAAGGAAGCATGGTTGTGGAAGCTCTTGCAGTGCTTCTGCAGTGCCCGCTTTGCTTGAAGTAGTTGCCTGGGACTTGGAGGAGGGCGAGCGAAAGATAGCGAAAGCCGGAAAATCTGGGGTGGTCGGAAAATCGTAGTAGAATGTGGCTGCGAACGTGGCTGGTCGAAAGGGCGGTGTGGAACATGCGTGGTGATAATTTGGTGTGGGGGTGATCCTTTTTATTGAAAGTGCGAGTTGAATTTGCAAAAGCCTCCTCTGCTACGTGTGGATCTGGAAAAGAATTTGTAACACGGCGAGGTCGGGGGTATTGTGAGACAGCTAGTGGCTCGGCGGTTTGCCTCAAAACCTCCAACTTTTCAGGCACATACGATCGTTTCACCAACGGTTGCTGAGCAAGACGACTGGAGTCATCGTCGGGATGTCCTTTCAACATAAAGGGTTCATGAGGGTTAACCTTGCCTGCCGCGTGTTTGAGCAACATTCGCTTCAGCATCCGTTTTTCAAAGTGTGAAAGTGACCTCACCTCGAAGAGGTTCCGAGGCCTAGAGTGTCGACGACAAACTCAGACCCATTGCATCTGCATCTGGGTGCGGATACATGGCCTGATTGAAAGGTTCGCCAGAACAGACATGCTAAGATAAGGGACAGAATGTGAGGGGGCTTGACATGGCTTGACTGTGCCAGAGCCTTCGTTTTTCAGAGGGTGCTGAAGCGAAGCTCAGCACATCCTCGGTCAACAGTTTTAATTTTTCTTCACAGAAGCGCCGCCATGATGGCGATTGGTGGTTGGCGCCTGCGTGTTTTCAAGGGTCGGGTCCCCCGGCACTTTCCAGACCAAGGAGACCGCTAAGGCAGAAGTCTGAGCAGAGCAAAACATCGTCCGAGTTAGCAAACCACCACTACAGATACTACAGTACTTGGCAGAACTGGTGTCACTTCCTGAAGTGTGAATTTGGCCTTCAATGCACCTTCCTGTTCCACGATCCACTGGTCAGAAGCTGTCCCTTTCAGAGCGAAGGCGGCTAAAGACATCCAAGGACAACTCGCCTCAACAATCATCAGCAAGAGCTTACCCCTTCCCGATCTCGGGATGCAATCCTTGGATCCTCACAGAAACTGTTGGCCATCTTGGGGAGACATGTCACATGTCTTCTCTTTGAAACTGGAAACGTGACCCGGAAAGACGCTGTAGTCCCAAACCAGCACATTACAGCTTCGCTTTTCTAGGGTTAGCTTCCCTTTGCTTGCCCGGGGTTGCGTGGTTGTCCTAGGGTGCCCTTCACCGGTTCCGATGTCCACGTTTTCCGCCGTTTTCCGCCTGGTATTGCAAGAAGTCTAGGCCTATGGCACGCAGCGGTCGCGCCCCTGGCTGCGGCCTCAGTTCAGCCTCACTCCAGACTTGTGTGATTCACTTGACTTGCAAACCTTCAAGCGCATGACTTTGAGACATTGCTACGATGCGCAGTGCGAAGGCAGCAACGTTGGAAGCAAGACTCCATGGAACTGGCGCTTGCTGGTACTTGTTCTGGGAGCATCCATTGTTCTGCAGTCCTGGCAGGTTTTTTTCTGGTCAGTGGGGAGTACATGGGAGAACACAGAATAGCGTGAATTAGAGGGATGACGGAAATGAGGTGGATTTGCAGATGCAATCTGTTGTTCTTTGCTGATGTTGATGCAATATGCTGTACTTTTGGGTCTCTTGAACAGTTCAGACACACTCCGTGGCAGGATCTGGACATGCGGCCAGCTCATCGTTCTCGGGCACGCCCCCCGTTGGGATGTTGCAGCAAGTTGCTCGAATGCCCACCTCTGACATTGGCAAGAAAGCCAAAGGCATTTTTCTTTCGGGCTGTCAACCACTGTGGGTTGTTGTTGGCTTGCGGTGGTTATTGCTATGTTTTTGTTTTCTTGTTTGTTTGTTTGTTTACTGTTGTTATGTTTTGTTGTTTTTTGTTATGTTTTGTAACGGTTTGTTCTGTGTTGTGTATTGAGGTTTGCGGGTGTTTCTTCCTCTCGCCTTCTGACAAACCGCTAGGCTCAAACGTGCCTTGGCGTTTTCGCAAGCATTCTTTAAACTTGGAAGTTAAGCCTCTGGATTTCAACTGCTCCGAACAGGCCTTTTGTTTGTTCTTGCCTGCCTCTGGGTGCCATGTGCATTTTGGACGACTCTTCATCTTCGGACTCAGACGTTTTCGGAGCCCACGTGCCACACAATCCGGGCTGGCCTCTGCCGCGATTTAGCCGCCTTTGTCTGTATCCCAGGGTATACGAATTGCATCGAATTGGCATACGATGGGGGGTCTGTCTGGAGTTACATGCATTCGTTGTTTTCAGTGTGTGTGTGTGTGCGCCGTGCCAAAAGCACCGGCTCGTGCATGTTGTTTTTTTGGAACTGGAGGCCTAGCATAGAACTTCGGTGATTGCTTCCGCTTCGGCTTACCATAACAACATGCGTTTTACGCTCACTGTAAGGCCTTGAGTATTGTCCAGGCTTTTCAGGTTTGGAGGCATCCAACACGTCGCCCCAGCGTCGACAGACGTCGCCATGTCCGTTTCAATTGCACTGCCTACGCTGCATGTTGTTACTTACGAAGTCTGGACTGAAATCAATAAACCGGACAATGGTAAGGCATGTGCAACGTTGGCAAGTCTTTTGAAACTCGCAGTGTGTTCACAATGCCAAGGAGGAAAAATCATGCAACAGTTGTTTGGCAGTCACATGTGGAGATAGGCACAGCCGACCCAAATGTGACAACTTCTTGACTAACGAAGCGAGATGATCCTGGCAAGTTGAATCGTCGTTAGCTATCGACACCAGAGCCGTGCGAGGAATGATTGTTTGGCTGAGCGTGAACGCGCAGTTCACGCAGAGGCCCGCTGCTGCGCAAAATGAAGCGCAACCAGAACAGAGCAAAAGATGAGGTCAAAGAGGCAACCGGAGGGTAGACAACAATAAGCTTGATGTCCGGGCTGCGCAGGATCTGGTTCTGAAGTGCCAAGCAGTACGAGAAGAAAGTCGGCAGGCAGCACGGGCAGTCACGAAAGCTAGCTCCTTGCAGTGTGCGAGAGTTGTCGTTTTCCTCCTATCTCTCTAGTGTTCAGGTGGGTCAACAAGCCGACCCTTAACTGGTATGAAAGCCAATGAGTTAATGGGCTGTGGGGTGGGGGGGGGGAAGGGGGGGGGGGGGGGGGGGGGGGGGGGGGGGAGGGGGGGGGAAGGGAGGGGGAAGGGAGGGGGGGGAAGTGAGGGGGAAGGGAGGGGGAAGGGAGGGGGAAGGGAAGGGGCGGGGAAGGGGGGGGGGGAAGGGGGGGGAAGGGGGGGGGGGGCACCCCCTCCTTAAGACACCCCCCTCCCTTCAGGCCCGCCCCACCTCCTTGGAGGCTCCCTATTCGATCTGTCAAGAACTCCAACGAGGATTTGAGTCTGCAATGCTGCGGAAAGCTTTCTCTGCTTTCTGCTACCCTTTTGCTTGCCATGATTCCAGAGCATTCATGCTTGTGATCGGATGCCATCGTTCAAATCGGAAAATACACACACACTTCCCTCCACCATGTAGCTGACCATATTGCAGACCATGTGTGGCATCTTCGGTTTTGGGGAATGGCCAAGAGGGCTCCCTCACTCCTGCCTCCCCCTCTCCACCCTCCCCCCCTCCCCCCGCCGTACTCCTCCTCAACATCATCACACAATCACCACTATTCATCCCATCGCTCCTGCATATCACACAGCAACAACAAATGCATGTCACTTTCCACCTCCGCGTCACAGATCCCGCAGCAACAAACCCTCCCACACACACTCTGTACATGCACGAGGAGTCGAGGGGCCGATGTAGAATTGCACAGTGTACATGTTTACAAGGTGCCTGGCTGGTTTAGAGGCCTATAAAATGAGAAGCAAAGCCCTCCCCGTCTCACATAACGTCCAAACCAGTTATCATTCTCAGAGGACGATTTCGTGCAGTGGCACCTGATAATTTATTTGTGTATTCGGTTGTTTAGACTCGCTG